CTTTTTCAGAAAGGTCCAAACTTCTCCGGTAGCTGTCATGGTATTTACGGAGAAGTATTGTGTTTGCTTGGGTAACTGAGCAGATATTCTTTCTTTTTCAAATTAAAAGCTTAATAATAGGCAAGCAGTTAATCAGTACAACTCAGTGCAGTATAAATTGTGGAAAAAAATAAAGTTTTCTCTCTTAGAGGTGCCAAATCAGGTCAAACCCCAGTTTTCAAAAGGGTACCTAGTGCATTTTTCACTATGCTTTTGCAAACTACTGTAGACCGTGATTCTGTTCTGGGGTTTTGGGGTGGCTGTTTTCCTTCTGTTTCCATACTTGTCTACATGTCCTCTCCCAAGTGCTTCTCCTTTATTTGTGATAGATTAGCACTCCGGCCCGGTACTGGGGTTGTTTCAGTTTAAAATATCTTCTAGTAACAACTTTTTGTAGTCTGCCATATTTTTTTTAATCTCACTGCAGTGTGGTAGATTTTTAAGAGGAGCAGCTCATTAGTTGAGACTTAAGTGAGTTGTTTTAATATTACATTAATTTTTTTTTATCTAAAGGTATAATTACATAAGGATTTGCTTTAAAATATTTTCTTAATGCAAATCATTGCACATACCATGCTGTCTGGTAGGAACATACAGTACAAATGAAAATCATGAAATCAGTTGTTTCATGTCTTTGGCCAGAGTCCTTACTAAAATATATATTTATCTACTTTAAGGTTATTTGTTAAACTTCTTTGTATAAACAAAGCTGCTTTGTTTAAGTGCAGAAATACACCCAGTTCGATGGGATGTATGCTTTAACTTTGTGGTCTGTGCTGTAACCCAGGTTTCAGCTAATGATACTGTGAAATATGTCATGGCTCAAATATTCCATACTCTTAATCCACCGCTGAATTTTGCATTTCCATGCGATTGATTGTCCCCATATGATTTTCATCAAATGAAGCGGTGATTTGGTCAGCATTACTCATGCAGCAAATAATTCCCACAGGACTACTCAACATGCCACTCTTCTCTCCCTCTCACCTCCCTGCAGCTCAGGGCAAAGCTGCTTTGGGTCTGCTCCAAAATTGTATAAACTCTCCCATTTTAGATGGTTTGAGAACTGAGCGCTTTCAGAGCTGCACTTCCACCAGGATCTTGCTATAGCAGTGGCACGTGGGGCAGGGCGGCGAGGCCCTCGCTCCCCGCAGAGCTGCGTCCGGGCTCATCGGTAGCTCTTAGCATCCAGCTGGAGCTGGGAGAGGACCTGCTGTGCTCTTCTGGAGTATGCTTAGAGTTATTTTGGTTTGTTCACATTTTTATTAGTTTCCTATTCCCAGCTGATCATCAATGCCCTTTTTTCCTTTAAAAGGTATGGGGAAGGCATTTGTTGAACTGTATAATCTGATACTCGTGCTGTCCATCCCATTACTGTGCTGTGTGATGGGATGGCCATGGTGCCAAGGGGATACCCGGCCGGTGCCTCATTTAGATCCCTGAATCAAATCACTCTGTTTTGCACAGAGGAGGCCTCTCTCCTGGCTTAGCACCAGGCACAGACCTCTCCGACCTCTCCGGTCGGATCTGTGTGTCCTTCCACACTAAACATGGCAGGGCAGCAGGAACTGCTCCTGGATAGAAACCCAAGCCTCGTTCGTACCCACCCCCCAGCACATCTCCAGAGAACCCAAGGACGGTTTTGTCTGCTTCTTACTCTATGTATCTTTTATCTTGAAATTTGTGAAGGAAATACTGTACAGTGAGGTTGATGAAGGGCAAAAGATGGTAGTTCAAAATTAGATTTCCCCTTTGAAAAGCTCCTCCAGGTGGCATTTCCAGCACTGACTGATGGCTTATCAGGGCTTAATGGCTGGCTGAGTCATTTCTGATGACGTTTCATGCGTTACAGCATCTGTGCTTCTGTAGTAAAACGTCGCAGTAACAGTCAGCCCTCTCGCCCTTCATCAGTCTTTGGTCTGACAGCCCTGGGGACATGGGCAACTACTTCAACACAGAGGCAGGGAGCTGTGCCTTCGGCCAAGCTAGCAGTGGGACGTGATCCAGGTCTAGAGGGGTGGGGCGGAAGCCGCACTGGGCAAAGCAGCCACCACCATCAGCTAGGTGAGTGTTGTGGCAGGTGCATGAACGCTCATGGACATGAACTGCTTTGATGGTGGGGGATTTCCAGCAGCAAACCCCCTGACTCTTCTTCCTCTCATCATCAGGACCACGGGACATGGTATGCTTTTTCTCATCAGTGCCTGTCTTGGCATCAAAGGATGGTTAGGGCTCAGGGCACTAATGCAGACTTGGGCTTGGGTGCAGGTCCTTGGAGTCTCCCTCAGACGGAATCAGAGAAAGAAGCTCCATTCAAGTGGGTAGGCTTTGTTTTTTTATTAAGAGTAGGTGTTATGCAAAACTTGCCTTCTAGCCCATCTTTCTAGTAGTCCTACACTTCAGATCTGTGCTTGAAGGGAAATGAAGAGAGGGTAAAATGCACTGCTGTGTGTCACAGAGAGTATCAGGGCAGGTACTTACGGCATGCCGACGGGTGCTTGCACATGCAACATCCATGTGCAAGGTGAGCAGTGCACCTCCAGCTCCACTCCCTGTGAAACGAGTCCCTCTTCTTTCCCTGAGCGTTCCTTGCAGGATTTTGTGTGCACCTCTTTATGATGCAGAGTATGTGCTGCTCTGATGGATTTCTTTAGTTCTGATTATTCAGATGTGCACACAGTGAAGTGCCCCTTGTTAATCAGGAACTGTTAAGCCATATGGCATGTGAGGATGGAATATTACAGCGACGGGATGAGAACCTCCTGTTCAGCAGCCAGGTTCACATGCAGCGAGTACCCTGTTAATATATTCTTGCCAACGCTGTCAGTTCTGTCATCTGGCAAGTCGGCCTAAGTGACGGCCTGGATTTGTGGAGCGTTGCTTCTCCACTGGGGTCCTGCTTCTGTTACGTCAGTGCTGAGAGCTCATCTTCCCTTTTAAAGACTTCGTAACGGTACGGGTGAAAACGTGGAGGGTGCTCGGAGCTGTCTGTACTGCACTGCTCGTAGATAGTGTAGATCCAGTGAAGATGCAGGTGGCCCTGTTGCATGTCCAGTGCTATTTCTTTGCCCAGTTTCCTTTAGTGACCTGTCTCTCGGGGAATCACAAGAGTAGGAAAGTCCAAGAGGCCTCATGTATCAGGTGCAGTGCTGTGACTGATGTGCTCTAATGTGGGTGACCAAGAACAGGCTGACAGCAAGTGTTCCTGCTGCCAGCAGTCAGTCACTAATACTGACCGTCATAACCAGTAAATTAGAGGTTTCCAGCATTGTTGGTCATTATCAGTAATGTTCTAGCTTGCATCAATGTATCAGAGCTGAAAACAATTTCAAAAGGTCACTTTTGTTTATGTGGTAGTTTAAGAGACTCGAGGTACCTAGAGATTCTTCTTGCCTGAGGCAGCCTGAGATGTGGGAAATGCTCTAACAGATGTGTTGTTTATCAGTAGTTGTGTCAGAAACACTTTAACGTGGTACTTGGCTGTCGTAACTGTCGTCACAAGGTTGAAGTTGCCCAGTAGCTGAAATCTGGTATAAATGAAGACAGCGTCAGCTCTGTAGCGTTAGTTTCTCGGCACACTTGATGTGTGGTTGTACAGGCATGAAAATGGGTGTGCTTGCAGCAGAGTTAAAAGCCACTACGTGGAATATTGCTGTATTGTACCAAAAATAGCTGCTGCTTTCTCCTAAGAATCGCGGACAGCCTGTCTCTGAGGAGGAAGGGGATTTCTGCAGCCCTGAAGAGTTGGTTTCCTTTAGCAGTCAGTCCTTGCAGGGTTCCTCTCTGCACCTGGGCTCCTACTGCCCAATGCCAAGGTGTCAAGCATCTTACAGTGATTTTCTGTAATGGATGCTTGTGATTTATGCTCTCTGCTTTTGTTGCTTCCAAAGCACAGATTTGTACCTCACTTGAGAAGAGCCATTAGTGCTGGCCATTTGTTCTCTAAAGTGCATTTATATTTTTGTTTCCACAGCTATGACATTTTTGGCCATAAATGATGTTTCAGACTTCTTTGAGATTCAGAGCACTTTGCTTACAGTTCATGGACATCTCTGTGATGCACTTTATCAGTCGGAAAATGAAATCACAGACAACATTTCTGATGGATTCTAGTCCTGCTTTGAGACTATGAGATAACCTTTATCCTTTTGCTGGTAGAGAAACTCACCGGTAGAAAACCAAACCGTTGTAAAGGGAGCTGCTCAGGCAGTGTTTGACTTGTCGTGTTGGAGCCAAGCAAATATCAATGCATTATCAAAATTATCAATTATCAGAATTATCACGCCGCAGCCGTCAGGGGCCCTTCGGCAGCTATGCAAAGGCACACGGAAAGCAGCTCGGGAGTTTAATTTCCCACGTTTTCCTGCTTTATATTCTAGCACCATACAAAACTGAGAGTAGTGATTGATTATGTGCTAGCTGCAATACTGTGCAGTTACCAGGGGGAGGACAGGGTGAATATCTGGGGCAGAGCTGCCTTGGGGCACGCAGCTTTTGTAACAGTTGCTGCCGTAGCCTTGCCTCTTTATCCGAAAGGACAGCTTCCCTTCCTTCTCTAAAACCACGGCCAGGCCTTCGCTGTGCGGCGTGTGCCTCGCTGGGATGCAGCCTCCCGGCACCGGCAACCTGTCGGACACACCGTTAGCAGCCATGCTGAGAGCTGGCAACGGCAAACTCTGCGTTCAGTTCGGTCCCCAGAGGAGACATCCCCGGCAGCGCGCAGACGTCTGCTTGCGAGGACTCGAGCGGTCGACACAGTTCTTCATGCGCTGCGTCGGGAATGTGCACTGGGTCTCGGGCAGAGCAGCGGGCCTTTCACTTGTGCACGTCGGGTGGAAGTTTGACCCTGCCGATGCTCATCTGAGCATCCACCGCCACTGTAGTCCTGTGCGAGTACCTCTCTGACATGCCTGGGGTAATTCTGAAATGCTTGGGGTAATTCTAACTGTGCTTTCCTCTAGGAGGACTTTCGGAATAAAGTTGAAGATTACATTAAGCGCTATGCGAGATGATGAAGGGAGATGGATGGCAGGACCATGACTTCCACACTAGAGTTGTCCTTAACTTCAACAACACCACCACCACCACCAACAAAACCAGCCCGGATTGTACTAGTCCTGTGTCCATGTTGTACTGAAGAAGAAAACTAACTTCATAACTTGTCCATGTTAAAAGGAGAGTTCAGCATAAATACAGCAAGAAATTGTGTATGTTGGTTGAAAAAGTTGTTTGCTTACTTTTAAAAAATGTTTACTCTTCTGAACTGTACTGTATATCCTGTTGATGAGATATGCTTGAGAAGTTAAAAGAAATCACTATTGAAATTGTAACTACACGTTTTTTAAACTCTTGCCTAGTTTGGAGGGGGGAAGGAAAAAAAAGAAAAGAAAGGAAAAGGTGGCGTGTTTTTGGAACACTTCAAGTCGGCAATAAAATGGTCTCCTGTGAACCAAATCACAACACTGTTGCCTTTGATGAGCAGAACCAATACAAGCTTTTTCCAAGAGTCATTCAGCTGAGGCTTAGAGCTTGCCAGAATGCAAGTGCTAAATGAAATTCTACTTCTGGTATTGAAATTCATGATGATATTTAATGTAAGTACATTTTTGTCACACGTTTGGAATTTTTACTTTGTTATTTTCAGCTCCTGTTTGGGCTACGGTATTTTTTTGTTTCTATTCATTGTGTGAAGTAGTTAAATGAAATATAGCCTAATCCATAACTTAAGTAATGTGTAGTATTAGTAAAATTTATATATATATTATATATATTTCTGTGAAAATGTAATGAAAGGGGGATTTTTTTTTTTTTTTAAGAAATCTGCCTTGCTTTCAGATCTGGATGTGGTGAGGGAGCATCAGATGGTGTTCGATCTGATGAAAGTAAATTCAAGCACCGTTACCTGGAGAATACCTAATGGTGTTCTTCAAACTTCTGCACTGAAAGTGAATGACAAATAATGCAGCTGAGAATAATAACGCACTGCACCCCCTTTTACACACTTGTGCGCGCCTGGCTTTTTTGGTAATTTGAAAGCATATGATGCTATAATTGCCTTTTCTGTAAGTAGCTGTATCTCAGACACTCGGTATGTGCATGCAGAGATCCTTCAGAAGAGAGTTGCGTGTACCTCAGGAGTCACTTCAGAGTAAATGCTGTGAGAAGTCTGCTGCCTGCTGTGTGCTTGAGCTCCTTGCTGCTCACCCCCGACCCAGGCGCTGCCCGGGGCTGCCGAGCCGGGGCACTGGCGTAGCCCCAGGGACCGAAACGCCTTTTGCTCGTGGGATCACACAGAGGAGGTGCGATGGAACCAATTCGAGCTTTTATCAATAGATGAACCATAGAAATAAATGTTCGTGTGGTTTTGTACAGAGCAAGTGTGTGTGTAACGCCTGGGCACTGACTTGGTTTTCTATTCCCCCCCCCGAATGACTGCTTCATCATTTCTTTCCTCTGCAGACACTGAAGGAAACCAAAGTTGCCTCCATCATTAGCGTGGCAGAGCTGGGTTGCAAATTTTAAGCACTGTGCAGCCTTGCTTATGAAGTCTTCCTTGTGCGTTTTCCCTTACATTTTCACAGGCTCCTGTACATGTTACTGGAGGTCCAGGAAAGCAGGGAAATGAAATGCAGGGGTTGGCATGCAGGAGAAGAGCCTTATCCTGAGCTTCACCTTCAGATAATATTGCCACTGTCTAGAATGAAGCGTGGATCAGCATATTACTAAAGCAATAAAGCAAGCAACTGCGGTGAGAGATCTTTGCTTCCAAAATAGTAATGTCAGGGAAGGTAAGGTGTAAAACACTCACAAAATTGGAAAGGTTGGAAAATACGTCCGGTTTTTGCCTATTGGAGCAGAAGGTTTCTGTTATTTTCAAGCTGAAACCACTGAACCAGTTTGCTTTAACAAAGATGAGTGCTCCCTGCTGTAGTGGCACCCTGCTGCGGTTACCACCTTCCATCCTTCAGCAAAAGGGGTGAAAGCCCCCGTTTGCTGGGCTGTCACCCCTGCCTGGCTCCCCAGGGGGCTGCTGCGCAGAGCCACGGAAAGCTGGGCCAGAGCTCGCAGCAGGTCGGGGGTACCAGCAGGCTCTGAGCACAGAGCTGGAGACCCTGTCAGCAAAGGCCATCCACACCTCCCAGTACCCTCCTGCTATATAACCCTTTCACTGTGTTTGTGCTTACCTGGCAATGAGCAGAATGTTCCAGTTGGGATGCTGTTAAATACTGTACAAGAAGGCTTAAGCATCGATTTCTTCCTATCCAGAATACGGGAGGGGGCAAAATGTTGCACCTCATCCTCATCCCAGAAAAGCCCATCAGCTCATAGTCCAGGAAAATAGACTGAATTATGTTTTCCTGAACAGGATGAGCTTTTTTTATGTATATATATGTATATTTATATGTATTTATATATGTGTATATTTCTATATATAGTTGTGTGTGTATATGTATATTTGTATAGATACACAATTCATGCACCGTACAGCCACCCTCCATCTCCACCTCTCACCTAAGCGCTAAACTGGGGTGCTGTGGGGGGCACAGCTCACCGCACGTGGCCAAAATACTCCTACAGAAATGTCACCAGGTGCTCGGTGCCATCCTGCCCCCCCCCGGACCCCCTGCCATGGCAGAAGGCAAAAATCCCACACGTCCCCAAAGCGTCACCTTCCCCTGTGGGCAGCTGGTGGGAGGAGGCTCGTCGGCAAACAGCGATGGTGCAGGAATCAGCTTTTGTAACTCCCGTGCAGCTTTTGGAACAACCTGCTGCTTTTTTCTTGTGGGCTGTCTTTTTTTTTTTAAATTTATTTTTGTCCTTGGCAGGTCACCATCTTCCAGAAAGCCTCTTCAGCTCTTCCTGGCTGCAGGGACCATAGTCTCCAGAGCCCTGGGTGCTACTCATAAAATAATACTCATTTTCTTTTTCTTAGTTGTTCAACCGCCCCTGAAAAAAAGCCCCAAATAACAAAGAAAAAAAACCAGTGGCGGTGTCCTGGAAGGAGAACAGGAGCTGGGACTGAGCAGCCCAGGCTGGGCCAGGCGCGTGGGTGGGCATCCCTGCTGCCCAGTGTGTGCAGTTCTGAGGTTTGCTGGGAAATGGCAGAGGTGGGGGGCAGCAGCTG